TCACTTTATCGAATATTCACATTTCTATGTGCAAACCGATCATCAAGCGTTAACAAACTTGTTACGCTCTGTGTCGAGGAAAGAAGGCTTGAACGGGCGCCTTACCCGTTGGGCACTTCAACTGAGTAGTCACAAGATGACTATTCAGTATCGGCCGGGCAAACAATGCGACAATGCCGATGCTTTAAGCCGACATCCAGTCGGACCACCGGTCGAAACAGCCGACGATGACGACTGGGACGACATGAAAGATCGGAAGTTTAGTACTCCGACCATTCGAGTCGTCACTATCACCGACCCAGCCGAACATGACGAAATCGAAGATAATTTTAAGTATTATCGAGCCGAACAGGAAAAGGATCCTGTAATCGAAAAGCGAATTCATGCCCTTGAGGGCCGAGCCGAAAGTACTACTTAATCAAACGCGATCCATACTTGAGTTATGGAACGGCGTTTTATACCGATTAACCGAAAAGACGGCCGCCTTGATCGACGGTTCGTCGCCGAAGCATATGCGTGTCGATATAATGCATGCTATGCACGATACACCGGCTAGTGGACATTTGGATCCACTGAATACGTACCAAGCAATTGCGCTTCGTTATTATTGGGACGGCATGGTTGCCGATATCGATAAGTATGTACGCAATTGTTATTTGTGCCAACACCGTAAAACGGAACGGAAGGCACCGCCGGGTAAGCTACAACAGATAGCTATCGGAGCTCCATGGTTCCGAGTACAAGTCGATCTGAAAGGTCCTTTGCCGATTACCCCAAGAGGTAATACGTACATAGCCGTCGCTATTGACGAATTAACCAAGTTCGTAATAGCTAAGCCGATTCCTAACGCGAAAAAGGAAACTGTCGCTAGTTTCCTTATTCACGACGTATTTTTGCCTTATGGCACGCCGCACATTTTAAATACCGATCGTGGAACTCATTTCCACAATAAGCTTCTTGAAGCGATCAACCATCGCTTAAAGATTCAGCATCATTTTGGTGCTGCCTACCATCCAATTGGTAGAGGCTTAGTCGAACGTCAAATGCAAACTATTGCCGATTCGTTGGCAATGTATGCCGCCGACGGACGGGAAAAGAATTGGGATACCATTCTCCCGTTTGTTATAGCCGCTAAAAATCGAGTGCAAAATGCAACCACTCACATGTCGCCGTACTACATGTTGTACGGACGTGAACAAGTTATTCCAGCCGATACGGTCACTAAGACCAATGTACCAGCCGAACATCCGTCGATAGCTGAATATATGGAAGAATTTTGCCATAATTTGGCGCGAGCGCATGAGTTAGCCGAAATTTATATGCGAGAAGAATTTATTAAAACGGCCGAACGTTTTAATAAAAGCGTCGAGAAGACGATTATCAGATCGGTGAACTAGTTCTTCTAAAGCGAGAAGAAAAAGGTGAAACCGAATCTTTTCGAGAAAAATTCGGAGGTAGATGGAAGTTACTGGCTTCCCGCATACCAATGCAGTCGAAATCGAGAATAGGGATAAGCCGGGAGAAACTCGCATTGTCAACTGCGAGCGTCTCAAACGTTTTAATACAACCGAAGAGGATCGTAAAGGAATAACCAGTACGATCTCCTTGCCGAAATCTGCCGAAAACGGTTTAAATGTGAACGCTGAGCCGTTCATACCAGCTGACACTGTAGAAATCGTTGAAGCCGTAAATAATAATACCGAAAATAACGCCGAAGTTAATAATGATGACGATCAGTGGGAACCCGAAAGCGTGGTTGCCGGAACTACTAGTCGCAAAAATATTAAGAAAAAGCCGATTAAATTAAAACTACATGTACGCCGCAATAAAAACGGATACGTACATGTGCGATAATTGCCGACTATATCCCCACTAATATGAGGTTCGTACCTCCTGCCGAATTAAAATCCCCACTATTTGTGTGGTCCATACCTCTTATCGAATTTTTAACCGCTCCTATCTGGGGAATTTCACTATTAATCTCGAATTAATCAGTGACTAGCCGTTGATTGCAATTGCCGATTAATTACTGAATTAATTTTCGAATTATTCATGTAATTATGAGCCGTACAATTCACCGGGCTTACTGTGTTGTAGGCAAGTCGGGATGGCCAAGGCCACCGTCAGCCGCAGCGTCTGCCGGGATCAGGTAACACTATAACGCCGCGAACGCCGCCGAACACAGTCCGTCTGAATGTTGTGGCACATGCCCAATCAGACGATGAGCCGGTCGAAATACGGACAGTTCGAGTTTCTCGTTCTGCCCAAACCGATCCAGTAACCATTATCGATCATGATCCGTTACATGAATTGATAAGCCGAATGCAGGAAGACGATGGCGAGAATTTTCCGCCAGAAGAGTCGCCGGAAAACTTGCAAAATATTCAAGCCGAATCTAATATTCAGCCGACACAAAATGTAGTCGTAGTACAGCCGAATACTCGCACGGTGGCAACACCGGTGCCTGTACCATTATTGCCGATTAATTTGAACGTATCTCGGAGTGAACCTCCGTCTACTCAGCCGGCACAAAATGTGCAAGAATACAGCTGACATCAAATCACGGTGTGATTCTGATTGAATTACCCAGCCGCAGCGAGATTCGTCTCACACAAACGCCGGTTATTACCCGCACTGCCTGTGGTACCTGGTGGTCCGCAGATGAATTTAGCTCGAATCACCATTGGTGATCAGAGACATACGCTAATTGTGGGACCAGCAAATACCCCACTACCATCGTCGATGCGGCCGCGAATAATTAATGTTAGACCGATTTTGCCGTGTCCTATTCCGCCGGCGCAGCCGCGTATGGTTGTTGCCCCGCCGAATACCACGGTGCGCTACCGACCTACGGGTAGTAGTAACACACCGTCACAAGGTCGATATATTCTTTCGCCGACTGATCAACAGTTTCCTGTCAGTACTCTAGTACGACCGGGGGTTGTTCGAATAAGTACGCCGACTCGTATGCCGAATATTTCTGTACCGAAGAGTACTCAGCCGGTGGCACAGTCTGATCGTGTGTCCAAGCAGTCCAGTGATGGACAAGCCTCGCCGAACAAAATACCACGGTTGTCTCCAGAAGACACCGGTAATCATACATCCGAAACGGCTCTGCAAGAGTCCGAACGCCGACAAAAGTTGCGTCAGGATAAGGAGGAATTGCAACGACAAATCTCCCAAGTCCGTGACCAATTAAATCGTAGCTACTTTAGTAGCGAAGACGAAGATGAGCCGAGACTTGTAATCGATGAACCGACCGTCGAAGTAGAGCAGTTGGATCAGTCGATGCAAGATCAGACGGGGGGAAATATTAATAATTCCCCGACTGTTCGTGTGCCGTCGCCGGAAATTCCGGAGTACACGTCGATCCTTAAGAAACCGTCGCCAGATAAATTATCCGATAAATCGTCAAATAAATCGACGAGTAAATCGCTGAATAAATCAGAAGAGTCTTCGCCGTCTAGTGCGTCTCTTCCGTTCGAGCAGGACCCACCTGCAGAAGAGTTACCCGTCATGATCGATGCCGCTTTAGCAGCTTTTAAGGAGCTGAAGAACAAGGAAAGAGCCGCTTCATTCACCTTCCTATTTCAATTCTATAAGGGAAGGGTGAATTACAATGCTAGTCGTGAACGTTTCCGATTAGCTATTCAAGGCGCCGTTAATCGAGGTGAAATGCTAGAAGTGTACTTACATTGGTCAAGTACCATTATGTATTCGCCGACAGATCTACGCCGTCGTTGGTATGAGCGTATGGTTATTAGCACGCCAGAAAGTTTTAGAGAAGCCGTCACTATCGCTATTCACGATATCCATAACAGACTTGGTTCGTCTGTAGCCGAAATAGCTAATTATATTACGCTAACTATGCCGATGCGACTTGTCGCCGCCGCACAACAGTTTCCTATGATTTTTGAAGCTGTTCATGAATTAGTCCGTAGGGAAATAATTGTGGAAATTACCGGATTAAATGTGCGTTATGCGTTAGCCGATACAAACCGTACGCGGTTGAGTGCCGTCAGTGGTGTCCCAGTGAGAGACTTGGGTTTACCACCGCCGGATAAAAAACGTAAGAATGTTACAGTCATCCGACCACCGCCGCCACCTCCAGAACCTACGCATGCTGTTCTGGCAGATGCCATTGGTCAGATCTTGAGATCTCGACAACAGCCGATTTTAGGGAGAATTACCGATACGTTAAGACACCGGTATAGCGCACAAGCCGTAGCAGTCGCGCTTAATCGCGAATATGAACAGGGCCGACTTGTACGTCAGTTTAATCACCGCCAATTAATGGCATACTATACAGTAGCGCCGAATGTTTCCTTCTTGCAAGATTATCCGTTATTTGACGCCACTCAATGGCAGGAAGTAGTCATCCGTACGATAGCCGAAATTAATGATCCATTGGGATCGACAGTCGATGAAATTGTGCAGTATATTCGCACAGTTCGTCCCGAAATGGGAGATCGTGTCGACCACTATGTCGAATTAGCCGTGTCCGAGTTGGTGTTTGAGCCGCGCATCATTTCGGTTAATGATCCGGAACGGGGCATCACTTGGCGAATTAACCCAGCAGATGCACCCGGTCCATCACGCCGATAAATTAATCGATAATAAATAGCCGATTTACGATAGTAATTGGTTAGTTACTATTAAGCCGTATAATAGTTACCGAATAATAGGTAGATTATTTATTAGCCGTTATTATCCCCTGCTCAATCGTGGTCTGTGCCTTTCGCACAATCACAAACAGGTCGATTAATTTGAAAAATAAGTAGCCGACAGAAGCAAGCCGAAAATTAACTATTAAATATGGTGGTTAAATACTTTAAAGCCGCTATTATTCCCCCACTAAATTGTGGTTCGTACCTTGTCGCTCTCTAGTTAATTGCCAATTAATTTCCAAATAGAGATAGCGTTAAATAGCTGATTAAAATAGCGTCCAATAGCCGATGGTAAATTAACCAGTATAATTATTGTAGATAATATGGAGCCGACGCAGTGTTATCGCTGCCGTTACAACACTAACCGCCGAAAATGCGCCGAATGTCTCTTCGGAGATAATTTGTACAGCGAACAGGAGAAGGATACCGTCGTAAGCCGACTGGTTAATGAAGTCCTTTCCTGTAATCTGGATGCGTATGTCACACTCGGTGAGACGCATTTCGAGCCGGTATTCCAGGCCAAACCTTGGCTGCGTATCAGGATGAACGATGCAGCCAGGAAACTCATAGTCGCCCGCGAACCACAGTGGTGTGATATGCCACTGCCTGCCGATTTGCCAACACAGCCGAATTATGTTGCGCCGATGCAGCTGCCGATCAGTTATCCTGCACAAGTGCAGATGCCGATGAATCAGGTAAATAACTCTGACTCCGATACCGACACATTTTCTCTGAGTGAATGGGAATGTGTTCCGCTAAATCGTTGTAGTTGTAATCCCAGTCAGTGGGAAATAGACGTATTAAAGTTAACCGATAATATGCCGCAGGGATATACAACGAATCCCATGTCGCCGCAGCAGATGTTGCAGTACCAGCAATATCAGCAGTACCAGTCGACACAGTACCAGCCGGCGCAATATGCGCAATACCAGCAGCAAGCCGATGCCGCTTTTAATCAGCCGCAGTATCAAAGCTATCGTCAGCAGCACGAGCAGGTAATTAAATTAATTATTCCTACTTGTAAATTACAACCGTATAATGAACTGCTTTTACAGCAGCCGCCGAACAGTGCCGACAGTGCAGGGACTTCTGATCCCTGGCTGAGAGAGTGCGGTTATCCGGGAAATACTGCATCACAGCAGTATCAAAGCCGTGCTGCATCACAGCAGCGTCCAGCCGAAGTGCAGCCCAGCACGTCGCGGGTAAAGCCGGACGCGCGTGTCGGACTGTCAAAACAAGTAGGTAATCTCTCCATTGACGACTCTAAGACGTCGGTGAGAGAACCGTCCTCTAGTGACAGTAGCCGATCAGTGTTTGGTGCTCGTCACCGTATTGAATATACCTTAGAGCCGTCTGAAAATCACTCCCATTCTGGCAAGAATATTGTAGTTGCCGGGAGGGACTTGTCGAAATATGAGACTAAAGTTTCCGCTGATTTGCAGAATCGTGGCAGACAGCGCGGAAATCAGCCGAATATTCGATCTGCTAATTATCAGCAATCGAATATACAGCGTAAGGAGCCGATTAAACCGCAGACTAATCCGCCGAATGAATCGCAACAGCCGCAACGTGAGAGTAATTCTCGCAAATATCGTGGTAATCGACGACCACGCCAGCCGACTATCGACCCGAATCAAGTAGTGCGCGATATAAAGCACTACACAGCCGATTTTAATATTTATATCCATAAGCTCGCTACCGTCGCCGGTATTACGAAGACTAACGAGCGAGAGATGATGTACTTGCGCCGATTAATGACGTACGCCGTCGCTATATTGGAGAAAACCGGGTTAGGAAACTGTGTGATGGAATTTGACTATTCCACAGTCGATCTGTCGCGTTCTCTGGAAATCCGAGATATGCAACCAGCCGCCGGAATAACTTGCGTTCAGTGCTTGATCGTAAGCATTTGTTCACGCCGTTTACATCTGTCGATATTGAGGTTATTTCTCAATTTCGTATTTATGGGGACGCTACGCCGGAAAAATTCCTTATGCAGTTTGTACTCCCCCAAGCCGACCCTGCGAAGTTTTATTTCTTTTGCAAGGTAGCCGATTTCATGAATTATGAATTGGACCAACGGGATATTAAATGGGAAACGATCCCGTATAATTCTGGATTAAAAGCCGCTGTATTGAACATGTTGGCCGCGCTACTTGGTAGCCATAGCGCCCATAAAGCAATTTATGGTGCTATTAATCGGCCGGAATACGCCCAGATCACTGACTTAATTGGTATGCTGGGTGCGCCGTTAACTGAACAGCAAGAAGAGCAGGTGTTAAAAGACACCATTGCCGCAGCCGGCCCTGTCCACATGGACACTGACCAGCCGGAGGAAAGCCGTTGTTATGACGATATTGATGACCGTATGAAGCGATATGGTCAGCGTAAACAACAGTATGATATTGGCCAGAGTTATAAGAAAAGGCCGCTACCAGATTCGCCGGATACTCCTACGGGAAGTAAAACTGTACAGCCGGAGCAGAAATTCCGTAATAATCGGAATAAACAGTCAGGTGATCCTGCGACGCCGCAATTGCGAGTGATGGGCGGGAAACAGCCTGTCAAGCCGACTCCTCCCATTACACAGCCGATTATTATTCCTGTAGTCAAGCCGAATTTGCCATTGGCAAAATTCGGGTCTGCTCCATCGCTGTTGGGCACGACTACGGTCAAGTCCACAGGTACGAGTACTGAGCCGCATAAAAATAAGAATGTTTCACGACCGCCGAATAATGGCAATAATAAAGCCGCTAATAAAACGGGTGTTGCAGAAAAAACACAGCAGTTGCCAGCTGTGCCTGCACCTGTGCCGCCGATCCCAACTGTTCCTGTTGAACAGCGGTCAGCAATTGCTGCTAAGCCGAATGAGCAACCAGCGGGTGTTGCATTGTCGATTTCCGCCGAAACGCAGCCTGTTAATGCTGCCCCGCCGAAACGGAAAGTTAACAGACCGAAATCTGTTAATACAGAGCCGAGGAGGAAGGACATCCTTGTCGAGCATTATCTGGTAAAATTACCGATTTCTCGAATGTCCGATGCCGAATTTGAATTTTATAAGACGACGAAGTCTTATGAAGATGAAGCCGAACCGAATTCCGACGATTATAAGCGGAATACGATCGCGTGTTTACGCAAGATGAGTGAGTCCGATATGAATAAGGACCAACTTGCGTTTTTTAACCGATACCGTTACGAATACCTAGATGAATATCTAGACGATGCCGATGTTACTGAACAGCCGCTTATTCGATTGCCGCCACCGCAAGGTGAGGAAGATACCGAAATATTCCACGATACAGTGGAAAGCGTGCCGGCACAAAGTGTGCAGCCGATGTCTGAGATATTAGGCGATGCTTTACATGCAGTCGCCGGAGCCGCTATAGCCGATTCTATTTCTGACACTGCTGTCGCTGCCGCTGACGCTGACACCGATATGCTGAGCGATGCGTGAGCGACGATGCCGAGATGCTGCTCTGGAGGACAAGTTATTCTCCAGAATGAGACGAATCATCATGGAATGGGATCTCATCAAATTCGCCAAATTTTTGTGATTTTTCTAACCTAGTATATGCGCCGCAAATTGTGTTCGGTCGCATTTTGCTCATTATTTTTGTGTTGTTTTGTTTGGTGTGTCCTCGCGGGAGCTCGGTGTTCCCACCCGTGGCATGCTAGGAGGCCGGTGCCACCACCCACGATAGTGGGGCTGCGTGGATGCCGCACCGTCTCTCCGGTCTGTTTTTTCGATATTCGACTGTGCATTAAAATGCACAGTCTCATTCCGTGATTTAGCCTTCTCCCAGCCAAGAATATCTTGACTGGTCGACCTGTGTTTTCCTGTTTGCTCCCATCTGGGCTTAGATATCATCCTGCGGATGATTTCATAATTAGTCGGGCTTCATTGCCTTTATTAAAATTGTCATTTTAATAAAGATCTGTTTGGTAGCACGCTAGAGTCGTCCACGTTTCTGTGCCACGCACACAGCGTGCTTTCACATGTACCAGTAGTCTGCGCAGCTTCGTACAGTTTCTTTGGCTTGGTGCTGCTTAACGTGCTACCCTTCGTACACTAACAAATTTAAATTATCCCAACATCCCTGATAACTACTCGTATTTAACTTAGCAATATTACTGGCAATTTAGACTTATTGTGAGGAGGTCTGCACTACGTATGCAGATGCCTCCCCGGCATCATGCGCTCTATCTGTTGTGACGCTTCCAGGCTCGAAAAAGACCATCCGACTTCCGGGCTCCAAAATCCCCCGACTGCTGCGATGCTCTAATAGGTGGATGAGTCAATGATCGAGTTGTTTCTTGGAGGTAATGCCAATACAGCGCAGCGTGCACACTCCAAACTGGAAGCTAGTATTTGGTTGAATGCACTTCCTTGTGCCCACACTGACAAATTCATGGTTAGCAAGATTTCTGAAGGTGTCAGTAACAAACAGTGGTAAAAGATTGTGTTTAGTGTCGACCGGTATTATTTAGCGGATTTCAACGCTGTTTCTTGCGCGAAATGTTTGCTTTTCCCGCAGTAATGCTGTAATCAACTCACGCTGACAGCTTAGCTACGCCTAGCATTTTCACTGCGCGGAAATCCTGCAAATTTGTATAACTCATGATTCTGGCTGCAACGATGTGTTTCGGAAATCAGTGAAGTGTTGCCGCGCACTGAGCCGGTGATATTGCCAGAAATTAAAATGACCACCGTGGTTAAGCAAAGCAATATTCCCATTTCTCCAAAACACACTTGAAGTCGGTGCCTACCGGCGGAAAAAATCGTTAATGTAAGCATAAAGAACCGAAACATCCGTAAAGACTTACATTATTTTAGGCCCAACTCGAGTGGTTTTCCAGAAATTTTGTTGTAATCCCTATTGAGCATCCAGAATTGAAGAGTGCTGTGTGCTTCGAAAAGCGCATAAATGCATATGCATACATAAAAACGATGTCAGTACCACGAACCGAAAACTTACTACTAAGAGAATCGGGAAAGCTGAAGCAGCAGCGAAACCGTACTTTTCAAGATTCGAAAAACTATTTAAGCACAAAGTAATCTCTTTGCATTTCACATTGTTTTACCGAAGTTTGAAAATTTACTAGAAAAGTGAAACTGCATTTTTTTGCTAATTTTTGTCATGAACCCAAAAGCCGCGTTTATTGTGACCTTTGGTTTGCTGGTGTGCTATACGGTAAGTTGACAGTTAGCTTGCTATTTTCAGAACGACTACAGTTTGTTGTCGGCTCTTCATTATAGTGGATGGCTGAAGTGGGTGGTCAGAAATGGGCAAGAAAGGCGCCGCCCAAACCCGATTGCTGCCACGCCTGGTTTTATTACTGCGAAGAACCGAACATGATGGATCCCTATCCTTATTGGAAACCGAATGTGCAGAATAAGTCATGGCCAATGTCATGGCATCCTTGCAATAGCAAGGGTGCCAAGGGCTAACTGGGTTTTTAACGCGGTCCTCTCCGGTGCCCGTCATATCTGGCTGAAAAAGAGTTTTCCCACAGTATGCTAAAACGTCCAACTCTTCAACTGCTTGTCTGCTTATCAGTTATGCTGCAACGCTACGCATTCCGCATAATTAGCTTGATCTGAAAATGAATGTTGTGCAGATCTTGAAAGTTAACACTCGCCCTCGTCCATGTGCCTGAGAGGCACATTTAATCATTCAGAAATTCATGGAACGTTACACTGGCAGTGGACTTCTTCCTATCTAGGCTGAATTCCTCAGAAAATTAGTTTGCTTTTTACTTATTCAAACATTTACTAAAAATAAATGAACTGAAAACTTTAAAACTACGAATTCCAACCGCTTCCGGTTGGTGAACAAATGGCAGCCTCCCAGTATGGCAGCGTGATTTGGCTTTGCTGCGAATATTTTTTGCGAAGTCCTCACTTCTTTCAAATTCAGTTTACCGAATTAAAAGTAACTCTTTATATTTGCGTTCTTAATAAAAACGAAGAACAAAGTGTAAAAAACATTTTGGATGAATATCAGACCGTTCTACACTCAGATTAGGACAAATCCATGGGCTGCGCCTGCGCGGCACATAACAAAACTCCGTGTAATTAAACCATAGACGAGTGCGAGTGTTAATATTTGTTTTCCTTGAAGTGCGCTTGGCGCGGTACGCACTACGCGTATATGAATTTATGTACCTCATACATGAATTCATTATATACCTACTAGCTTTCCGTTGAATTAATACTAAATTTGTTAATTCATCAACAAGCTTGTGTATTACTGCTTCCAGTTTTATGCGTTGGTCCAATATTGTGCGCGAAATGTTAGTTTATTCTTTGCAATAAAATGCTTGATTCCGATTAACGAATTCACACAAGCACCCTTTCGTAAGCTTCGAGCGTGAAAGACTGTGATCACTTCGGTTTGGGAAATTATGAGTAGTAATTAAGTCATTGCTTTATGGCTGCGTAGTACGGCTTTATCACGACTGATAACTTCAGTTCCAAAGATAACTTCACTTTTTATACACATCCCTGTTTGACTGACCGCTAGAATTTATACTGTATCATCCCTCTAAAACGGACAGTCTTGCAAGCTGACGCTTTACTTTTCACGTAACCGTACCGACTACCGATCATCGTACGCAGTTACAAAACTTAATAATTAGAATCATAAGAAATTTCCGCGCCAGGAGGTTGGATGTTATCCAACCTCCTAAGGCTACGATAGTAATTTACATACGTAAAATAAACAAACTAAATCTCTACGGCCGATGTTGCACAATCAAGATTAAAAAAAGCTTCTTTCATGGTAAAGTTACTAAAACTGCGGCCGCGTTTCTTTTAACAATTGCGAGGCTAATACGATCTTTTAAGAAACCCGTAGATCTGTTTTCTCCCGACCTGTCCTCAATTTTACGTCCGAGAAAGCTGACCATTTCTCTGGCTGCTTCGATGAGCATAAAAACTATTACAGTTCTCTAGCACAAAAACCGCGACCGCGCGCTGAACTTTTACATTTTTAAGTTGCCACAAAAATCGATGGCATTTAGTGCCCGATTAGCTGATGACGCATGCAATGCGATTAGTACAGTGTGTTGCCAGGCTACGGATAGTTCGGAAGAGCGATCTTCGCCTGTGATTGCCTTCGCCCCCATTTCAATTCAGTACAGTTTCGATCTCCGTTCACTATTGAAGTGTGCACAGTGTCAGTTTGCGTGTCCTGCATTCCCCAAACTGCGAGCTATTCACCTATTGTATTTGGTTGTTGATTTCCTCTCCGGCTTTTTTTTGAACGCCAACATTCTGTGGAAATAATCATACATAAAGCAGAAGCTTTCATTAGCTTTGTTCACTTACTTTCGCGATGGACAAAGAACTACCGCAGATGAAAATCAGCGCTCCGGCACAGGGAACTTCCACGTTCTCGGACGTGCCCGACGAAGTCATTTCGCATATCTTTTCGTTTTTGGATGTCATCGACATATCCAACAGTACCGTGTAAGTACTTTCCATTCTCCAGCATTTTTTTTATTTGATAATATAATCCTAAAAATGACGTTGTTAACCGTTACACCTATGATCACAACCTATGAACACTTTATATTCACAGCGTGTGCAAGCAGTGGCAACGTGTCAGCAACGCCGTCGAACTACAGAAAAAGGTCATCATTGATCTGCTGAAGTGGAAGACTCATCAACCTCTGCCTGTGCCGGTCGAGATGGACGACTATTTTGACTTCTGCGATATAAAGGAAGTTGGCCACCGTGCTCTGTTAAAAAAATTTGTTACAGCAAGGACTCGCAATATCATCATCCGCTGGCCAGTCGGCTCCTCGTCGTCGCCGGAGCCAGTGATGATCGAAGACCATCCCGATCTTGAGTATGGCGAATCATTTCATTATTGCCATTACGAGGCTGTTGCAATCCAGCGGCAATTGGTCGACATCTTTGGGTCATTTCCTGGTGCCGCTGCCACAGGCGGTATCTTTCCATCAATGCGAACGCTGTGATCTTAACTGTTCGTCTTTGCCAAATGTGACGAAATCCTTCTCAGGCTTAACTTTTTTGCGTTCAGCGAATCGAACACACCCAGCAGTTAGTTCCTGTATGGCATCCATAGCCTGATGGATCTTCAGTATCTCCCATTTGTCTGATAAGACAAAAACAGGCAACGTGTAGAATATCAAATAGCGGTATGAACAGTGTAGTCCTACATACAAGCTCAACGTGACAAGCTTTATTTACGTGTGCTCACTTTCTCGTCAGACTGGTACATAAATCATGATAAATGTGGTAAATAGGGGGCAAAACCAGACACGGTCCACAGTTCCCCAGTACTGCTGCAGTCACCCGGCCGGTGCTTCACGTTGTGGTTAAACATGGTGCTTATGTACCACGCCTGATGTAACCATATGTACTGCCGTAACGTTACACTCCATGCGGGTGACGTCAACTGGGGAACGGTGGACCGCGTTTACTTTCGCCCCTTATATGTACGACCTTCCTGGTCGCGTGTATTCCTTTACCACAACCCTGCTAATTCCAGAATTACTTGGTTCTGATAATAATTATGTGCTGTGGTGACGTACATCTGTACGAAGCAGTCAGTATGAATACTGGCTGCCTCTGGTTAACAATAAGTATTAAGTTGATGTAACAGTAAACTATACATAATACAATCCTTCACAATAATACATACAGTGTTATCATAACACATGCAGTATTATCATAATAATTATTATGTATGTGACCTAGTTTGTGCCAGCCTTTTGCAGGAATGGTACAATATCACCTAAAGCTCGTTTCCCTACTGGGTTGTGCAATTTGTGCCGCTGTGGTCAGGCGAGTAACAGGATGTACTGCCTTGTACAAATGCCACACAATGCAACATTACAATTTATAAACTACAACGCTCTGAAGTTTCAAATTAAAGCGAAAATATAAAGGGCATCTACAAAATAGATGCTTTGCAAGCAAGTACTGCATTATTTATGCCACGATTCACAGCGGACGCTTGCATGTGGTGAGGCTCAAAGCAGCTTTTGTAGCTGCAATAGATACCGTACGCCTGCGCCACGTTATAATACTGTGATTATAATTTTGGACAAGATTTTTGGCATGTTGTCCCTATATCTACCGGGACTACAGTACTCGGTTCGTGATATCGTTACCTACAAAAATTTGATACTCACCGAAGTCGTCACTGTAGAATTTATAGGGAACGGTTTTGTTAGGCCAGAGTAATCGCTTCTCCACGTAAAGAGCGTTTGGAGCAGTTTCTTGAGTTGCACACGGGAAGCACGTGGAGTATTTGAAATTACAAGAGGAGTCCGAATCAGTTAAATCGAAACCGCCAACCCTCCTGTGGCATACTCCATAGTCGTCTGAGGCTTTTACATTCTCACACTGCAGTCCGCTGCAACACGGTGCGTAAATGGCAGGTCCGCACTTCTGTCCAGAGGAGGTGCACATCGCTGGACCGCGTGTTGTCGGCGAGGTGACATTAACTGCAACGGTGGTGACTGGTATACCACTGGTATTGTCCGTTTCATCGTCGTCGTCATCTGGGCCATTGCGGGGTTGCGTGCACGTCCCGAATCCATTCTCATCAAGATCAACACAGCGCAGTACCGGGCAGCACGGTTTCAAACCCGGTCCGCATTTGTCTCCTTGGAAACGACATCCGTTGGCAGCATTACTATTCCGGACCTGTGAACGGAAACAGTTGACCAATTATGAAATGTTAAGAACTTCAAACCCCCGAAAATATTACGAATGGCACAACACTTGTCGCAAAACGTACCGTGTTGAAGAGTGCCAATAAAGCAACGATCATCCCAAGTAACGACCCGAACGTACGTACATGTATTCCGCTCCCGTTGCCCCGAGCAGTAGCCATTGACGTAAGGAATTTGTTGCCCAGGCAATCGAAATGGACTAATTATTTTCGAAAAGCACATCAAAGTATTGATCTACGTCCAGGGCAGATCAGCAACGCATTTTATAGGGCACATTTCTCACTGATCAGCAAAGTTGCTTTGTAAAATCGCATGACTGCACAGCTAAACGAGCCGGACTAAAACGCACATGGACACCAGCCAAGAACTACAGTAATGCATATAACAGAATCACCGACGCCTGAAGTGGTTTGGAGAATTTTAAAATTCTGCTTACAAGTACAACAGCAAAAGTCAGCAATACTAGGAAAGCTCTCGACAAGCAAAAAGAATGTCAGGACTCCCGTGTAAAACAAAAGTGTTTACTGGGAGCACTTAATAAAATCATGCGTGGCATGCACTTCCCCAGCACTTCACGCTGCTGGACGTCGTGTGGTTCGTCGCAAAAATTCTTTGCGAGGAAGTTCAGGTAGCTGGATACTTCCATTCTCAAGAAATACCTATCTATGATACTACACATGAAGAGCAAAATTACTCACAACTCACAAGTGACAAATACAGTACTATATACCAAATATAATATTTTCAGTAAAAAGAATTATGACAGGAGAAACCAACTCTACGCAAAAGAAAAACTGTTTTCCAATCATTTATGTTGCTAATACTTTTTTATAATTCTGCACACTCGTTAAGATAATCAGCATGTATTACCGTATAGGCTGTGAGGCGTTAGGTATATACCATTTTTTGAATAAAATAGTGCAACAGTGGCACATGTACCTGTATTAACCCTTATACCTGTATTAACTTTTTGGGAGCACACAGCCGGTTTGGTTAACAAAGGTTTGTTGAACACATCTGATGTATCTCGTTTGTTTGTTTTTCCATCAGCTTTTTTGCTACTTTATTTCTAAAGGCCTTTTTGTGATGTATATTCTCCCTTTTACAACGGCGCCAAAATTTTGTCTTACTGCCAATTAATAATAATTATTTGTTTTTGATTTTCTGCCTGGATCGAAGATCTTGTACGTCTGCAGCTGGGCCGGAACGTTTAGTGAGACTAGAGAACGAAGACGTATACCTTGCCTTTAAGTTAGCTTTAGGTTAGCTAAACGGGAATGATATTATTCTGTAGTTTTGTGACATGGATTGCTTTGGAGTTAAGTAACTGAGATGGGCACATCGTTATTCAGCGAAAACAAAGTTCAAAGTAGAAGTACTACATTAAAAAATATTATGAGTGCTTTTGTTCTCGGCTTCTGTTCGGAACGTTTAGTGAGACTAGAGAACGCACTCAGTATAATGTTTTGATTGACAGTCCAATGCAATGCTCTAAGAGTACGAGAGGAATGAATATTGGGTTTGCGGTGACAAACTGCATCTACTATACACGAAATCGATACATCCAAACAAGTGACGTGACGTCACGGTGACGTTTGAGCCATATATACAAAGCCTAATTCTGAGCGGACTCTACGTCAGTTGTTTGGATGTATCGATTTCGTGTATAGAGCAGTTTGTCACCGCAAATCGACTAATGTTTTTCTCGTACTCCAACGTAGAGTTACGGCAACGGGCAGACGCTAATATACGAGGTATTTTACTCTTTGTCGGTAATTTACCTGAAGACGATCAAATCATAGCTGATCAATTACCAAACAGACCAGAGTCACCAGACCATACTGGTTGCGAGTTGTCAGGTGACGCGCATTACTTCTGACGGCCCAGCAAATCTGTCACGACGTGGAATTTCGTACTCTTTAATAATTCTTCAACTAAATACGTAAACGACAAGAAGCACACAAATACAACAAGTATGTAGTACGACATTGTAGTGGCATATCTTGCCATGCATCACATCTCCCTTTGTTAAGAAAAAGTTTCTTAACAAACAAAACTGGGGATTTTGCATGCATTGAATTGCAGGGAAACAAAAATCCACATATTAGTGAGACCGGTAATTATATTTACCGTCTCTGACAAAAGTTTAATTAATCCGGTATGCAGAGTACCGCGATAAAGGTACCGCAATTCATTTAGTCTAACAAGACATAGATACATCCAGCGATCTGTAAAAGTAACGAAGAAATGGTATTTTACCGTTTGGCTCAACAAAAACTACCTTGCAACTGATGCGATTTCTTAAAAAGAAACAAAAAGTTGAACAAAAAGTCATGAAGGACACTTGCACCACAGCCCAACAATACTCCTACCCTTAACTCACCATCGGTTCAGTGTGCCTGCACCAAAACCGTTGTGCAAGTTTGATACTTCGCTTACAGTAGTTCAGTACTGAAACTAAGAGTATGCATGCCACTCTAGTTGTCACTTGACTATACATGTAGTTTTCGTACATACCGTAATTCCGTCTCAATAAAAAGCTAAGTTTGTTCAAGATGGTATTGTTATGTTTCTCTAAACTACAGAATGCCAGTCCATGAATTGAAAACGCTTATTACATAATTACGCAAAGCCGCTTTCTTAACCTTCGCTACGTATTTCGTTATCGTACACATTAAAAGCTGTACTAAAGTATTTCCAAAATTTTACGACGTTCATTTTCAAAATTCCGGCATTTAGGTGTGGAGATAAAGAAAAGTTTTTCAGGGTCAAACGACAAGTGCAGTATTGTGAAAAATATTATAACACGAACAACAAGATGTGCCTTCAAGATGTCTAAAGATTTTTCAATCTGATTTTTTCTAAATCGTTTCTATCTTGTGTAACCGCGATCCGTCGTCTGAGGAATGGTTGGCACGGTCGGAACCATCCTAACATTAAGCTGACTGTCAGTAACGGATGCGGCAAGGCTTAGAATGCGCGATATGCGTGATTTTAATTAATTTAGGCTTAATGTGCGGCTAGAATAGCAGCCAACCGGTATTGTTGCGATGCGTGTACTTTCTATTGTGGTACGGTGATACAGTGTTGAATTGTGGAAGATAGTATTTTGGAATCCGGTAAAACCGATATTCGATGTTTAGACATCCATGTTCTGTCATAAGCGGCAAACGGTTAGTTTCCTTCGGCATTTATTGGCTAATTATACAATATCTCCTCGTAGAAAGTGCAGGCGCCGAATCAAAATATAGTCCCTGGGGCAAAATGCATTTTCTCTCTCTTGCAAAACTGATTAAATGCAGATGGCTCTGCGTCGGGTACGTGGTTGCACTCTACCTTCCATTGGATTTCGAATGGAATAATTTCCGAAGTGACATCACCATGCCGCAGATCCTACGCGAGCTAATTAAGCCATCCCATCTTGCAGTTTCAGGGTTCAGTATATTATTACTACACATGTCCATCGCGCTTTTAACTCCGCAAGGTGAGTTTATTACGAAGTAGTTCAATTACTCACGTATGTGTTTACTTTAAACCACAAAATCGTACTACTGCTGCTTCCCTGTCTGCCAGAGTATTGATGCAAAATAGATCAAAACGACGCCCGGACATACCGGAGCTGTGACACAATTATCTGCGATGGCAGTGGCCAGTGGATACCGGCCTCGAGTGTTGTGACGACACCGACAACGACTGCTACAAACCGTCAGATCCATCTTCGGTTTCAATGGGAAGACACCGCATCCCGGAAGGACGAAGACGTCAAACCCACATCATCCCCACATCGCCCGTTAACATCAGCGCACTGCCGGTCAACATTCGAACATTGCTAGCTCCTCTTCCGCAGACAGGCCCAGTCTATGATGGCCGAGTATTTTCTGGAACATACCGTGCCAATGGTACCGTCGACTTTTATCTGGACAGCGCCCGATGACCGCACGCGATACTACAGTATCTAACCATAATTTTCCACAGCTTCGTTCGGAACTGCAGTGAAATCCAACTTGTCGAATGTTACGCTGACTCTACAGAATATCCATCTGGGCGCTGATACATTGCAACGCATTATTCCCGCCTTTGTGAAAGAGATTCATTTGGAAGATGTGACTATGCATTGTCATTTCCCAACCGGATCGCTAATGGCAGAAGAGCCGCAGATTGTGGAAAAAGTACAGGTGGAGAAAGTGATTGTCAGCAAGGTTGATGATGCCTGGCCATTTGATTTGCGGGGACGGAATAATAACGGCGGATCGTTCATGTACACGATCGTGTCCACAGAGCAGATCAACTCGTTTGAGTTCTTTGGACAGTTTCTGCCAGGCAGTTTGTCAGCGGAGGAAGAAGCCGTGATCCAGCGCAAGGTGCAGTCCACAGATCCAAGTGGTCCATCGCTGGTGTCGTACTTATTCATGTACGTCGTATCTAATTATGGTACCTTGTACTTTGTACGACATTCAAGGAGGTTGCACCCTACGCATATATTTATACCTAATTAGCGCTTGACATTCCATGCTTCCAAGCCCGAAATACTCATACAGTGACACAGTCATACTCAACCAGAGTGCCATATCTACCGGTACTGTTATACGATAATGTCGTTTTTTATGTAGTGTGGTGCAAGTTGTACCCGGCGTAGTCTGGCAGTATGGCCAACGCTATGGGCCAACGAAACTACTGCGCCCGTGACAAAAAACTGAAAAAAGCGCAGACACGGCGTTGCTTTTAGTTTTAATTTTGCTTAAAACTAACATGATGGCCTAAAGTTCCTAAATTAACAGGATGGCCTAAATAAATATTCACTGAAAACTAAATAAAGTGGCCGTTGAACACAAGAAACGCGGAGGCGAAGCCGAGGCTGTTTCTTGTAGTAATTAATAGCGCGTTTTTGTGCTTTATGAACCTACCATCTGTACTGCACGAAATGCTTTGAATTGCTTAGACATGGTGGATGGCCGAAACCAGCGGATGGAGTTTACCCAATAACGCCGGTCAACACACTGAACTTGACTCTGGATCGGATTCGAACGCTTCCGTCCTGGTTGCAGCATCTCACCGTGCAACTCCTTAGTCGTTATGCAGACTGATGTCCAAGTGTTGGACTAATGGAAGTTGCTGCGCTCGCAATTCATGTGGTTTGAATAGATGTTGTAGCAGCTCGATCGTCTAATCATTTCGTTAATTTTTTGGTACTTATTCATGTTTGGAAATTTTGTGTCCTATTGACTTGCATGGTTACGCAGCTTACCCAGTACACACACTTTATCACACTATTTTTTTGTTGCTAATAGTAATGGCTTAACTGCATAATCAGAAGGAAGAGCTTATTACAGCTGCCCTTGTTTGATGCCATGTTCTCTTTTTACGTTAACTATGAATGCCGTTTGTGTTTTCGAATTCTGAGTTTGGTGTCGTGGCTGAAGTGGTAACTGTACACTGTAGTACAATGTGGAAGAATAGAAATTCAAGTCACGAGGAGCGGATCATAGTCAAGGCAAAACGGTATTGACGACTCTCGCCAGGATGGCGTCCCGTGGCGGTTGGGAGCCGTGCGCCCACGCTAAGCCCAGAAGTCATCGTAGACCCGTAGCAACACGTGCTTTTCCTGGCATTGTTTAAATATCACGGGTTCGCACATTATTCTGCTTAATAATGCGGCAGTCACATGAAAATTAATAGAACACTAAGCTCTATCAATTGGGCGACCCATGTCTGATAAAAAAGTGTAATATGCCCTGTAAATTGTGCGGCGATGCCGATGGCCGTCGTATTACAGAACGCCTAACGTGCGACCGTTTTCGCGTGTTACATGGCGTATGCGCATTTCCCATTTTGGCGCACTGCTAAATTCTTGTAGTAAGTGACGTCAAAATGACACACTGCCAGTCTGCAGTCCCGGCGAGAATCACGAATGATATCGTACAGTGCGTACGAGCGAGTAAAATAATCGTTCTGCCGCTTTGCTTTTCCGGCTCCATGAAAATTTATTATTCGCTTTTGTTACGAGTATGGCTGGTTGAAGTGCAGTTTGTATGGACAGTCATAATGTGACGTGGTTTGCAACGGAAGGAAGTGGCCATGAAGTATCAGCCAATTAGTGATGGGCTAAGGCCTCGTCCCGAATTCGAAGCGAATCTCGTTGCGATACAGCAACTCCACCTCGCGAGGTGGCTTCGCGTACCGTATCTGTAGGCGTGGCCACTGCATACAGCCACCTCATGCGGTTGAGCAACCGTACCATAGCGAGATTCGCTTTGAAATCGGGACGAGGCCTAAGTGTACTTTGATCTCTCATAAAACAATCAATAAAATGTTGACTTTATGGTTTGTCTATGAGTGCTTTTGAGATGGAAGCGTGCTCTCTCATCTTTCATATTTTGTATCAAAAATCACTGATGAGTGCTCGAGGGAGAAGAACTTCTTGTGAATGTATTAGTATCATCTTGCATGGCTGGCATCTCTGGAATATCTTGTCTGGAAGTGTTCTCTGGAATATCTTCTTAGCCTTGATGTAGTTATTCTGTGAACAGCTTTTAATTCAATTTGGCGCTACAATACAGTCACAAGTTTCCATAAAAGTGAAAGAATTGTACTGAATACACAGCCTCAGCCGACTACGGAAATGGGCGGCCTAATCACACAGAACATTTCGTCTAAGTTGGCCGATGCTGGTGCTGTTCCCATGACAGAGGCCGCGTTCCCGCGTTGGACGTCAATGCTGATCCGTTGTCGCAAAAACTCCGTCGCCCGTACCTCGCCTGTTTCCTGTTGTATCATCTTCCCGACTTCGGTGACCAAATGAGATGCGTCCGGTCCGAGTGATCCGAGTGTTTCGACGCCAAATGCACGGAACAGGTAATCTCGGGTGAGTTCTCGATACTTCGCCACTTTATCCTGCTCTGCGCGCGCCGCGGCTGCTCCAGCTTGCTTCGATGTTGCCGCGATGTGCGACAAGGCTACCGTGCACACACATGTGGCGTCCCAGGTCAACATCTTTCCTCTTTCCCATGGGACCAAAGTCACTCCGTCGGGGCGCTTGCCATTGGGGTTATTCTGTTAGCGGGGCGTTATTCTGTTAGCTTGAAAGAGTTTAGATAAAGGTCATCGTGATTAAGGTTGATTAGGTTAGCGTCACCTTATTTGTCATACAGCCATAAGGTTAGCACCACAAACATCAACTAACACCTATTAGTTGACACTTTGTAAGAGCCAAGTAAACAGCAAGAAGTACAGATACAGTACTGCTGTAGTATTTCTGCATCATGAAATCGTTTGATGACTGCTGGATCAAACCAAAGAAACACACTGGGATCAATAGCAAGGGCGTCAGTAGCAAATACATCGGGTAGTAAATATGACCAACTACTGGTGATTTAGGCTTTGTAGTACGCTGCAGTTATCCGACGAACAATCCATATCAGGATAAGAGTGCAACTGTATTGACATTCACGAGGTTAAATATGGATGATGCAAAAGTTGTGCTGCTGTTTTCCGCTCTCGAGCGTTGAACCACAGGCAAGATTTTATGAAATCCAGTGGATCCCGGTTTGTGTCGGTATCAGTAAGCTGAGGCAGTTTTGGCTTCGCGCAGCGGTTCCCTACTTGGTAAATAATCGCCAGTTCAGTGGAATATTGTTGGCGTCCTACTGCGTACTGCTCCGACTCATCACCAGATTCGTTTGAGCATGTCCACTTAGTAATCAAAGGACGTCAACCTGTACATAGTACAATGGCCACGCAGCCGACGCTCCAGATATCCGTTTCATCTCCAATCTGTTCCTGATCCAGATCTTCCGAGCCGGTGCAGGCGATCAGCTCCGGCGCAGCATACAGTGCGGTATAGCAGCCGTTGAGTATCTCACTAGGGCTTCCGCTGTTCGCGCGGTGGACTTTAAGGCCTTCGAAGTCGACAACGACCACTTGGCAGGTATTTCCGTTGGTTCGGACCATCAAGTTCTCCGGTTTAATATCACAGTGGGTGATTTTGGGGGTGAAACGGTAATGAATGTAGTCGAGCTCCATCAACACGTCCCGCAGAAAGGATTTTATGTAATGATGAGGAAGCGGGGGATCTGTTATTGATGTTGTAGCAATCGTTCTGGTTTGGATGTTCTTTTTCGTCCATTCATGCAGATTCATTCCTAAAAAAAAATTATTTCCACACTCCCTGTTTTTATATTCCACTGCTAAAGGGAAATGCCTCAGCACAGGGTGATGATGGCCCCATTTCCTGGTATACGATGTGCAAAAAGGAACCTGTTTTTGCGCGCTAGATAGGTAACACTTTTTGCAGCTCGATTTTGCTACTACTTTGGCCACTCTGCGTACATCTTTTTATAAACTGATCACCCCCGTATTCTAATTTAAAAGAACAGCGATTTAAGAATGATACTTTTCAATTAAGAAGCAACTTCGTTCATATACTTATAGTACATACATAATATGTACCTTGCGATACGTTTTCTAACAATTTTGCTCGTAAATCGGCCACACCACATGTGACGTATTCTTTGAATAGCCCCTGAACGCGTACGTTGCGGAATCTGGACTCACGCGTTTGAATTTCAGTTTGGCATTCATGAAAATCTGTTGATGGCCTGCATAGTTTAATACCTGCTAAACAGATGTGAGAAACATTGAAGAAAGTACTGTTTTACCAACATGTACGCAAAGCCAATACTTTGGGTGAGCACTTCTTACACCAATCTTAACCGTATGCTCCTTTAGTCCTTCGTACCTTTTACTCCGCCCATTACCTTTTTGCTCTAACAGGTTAACAGGCAGAACTACAAATGCTTTAAAATCACAAAAAAGCATCGGCGTTTGACAATTTCCAAAATTTTTTTAAATTTCGTGGAACATTGCTGCTGGCTGCGATTGTATTGCAGGCAGGACACGTCAGGTCACAACCCTGGACTCGCATCCTTACGCAGTGGACTGTCGCAAGACTGAGTCCTCCCGTAGTGCACCCTATGAGCCCTATGTGAAAAGGTCAGCAATGACCTTTGCCTATGTGTACCTATGGTGAACAACTAGGCAACACCTGTGTGACCATGACCTTTATTGCGTAAACGCTTGCCCACTACAACTACTCTATAGCTAAGCAGCTAGGCTGCTGCTGAATAACGGACTGACTGGCTGGCAGTCGGAAGGCCTCCTTATATATGAGGATGGCCGGCTAGGAGGGGGTGGGGCTTTTGTGGTGACTGGCTCGATGACGGCGGTATGACAGGAAGTGACGTAAGGGTAATGTCATATGATGTAATCGACCGCTGACTGACCTTGACGGTATGACGCATGTCGTGACTCCGTCACAGAACCCGTGGGAACCCGAGCTGCTGACGGACGGATCTTCCTCAGTGAACGAAGTTTCGCTTTCCTCATGGCCCGTTTATGGAATGAAGTTCAGCTTCCCAAGGAGTCGTACGATTCCGTCCGACGATTCGAATCGTGTCACTCCGTAAAATGGATGGATTTAAATCGGACCGATTGTTTTATTCATAAAGATCTAAGATGCTTACTCTGACACTTTTTGCCGGATATTTAATAATGTTTTATTTTTGTTTGTTTTATGAGCTGCCGCTGCGGCAGCACATTCTTTTAACGGCAGCCTACTACCTTGTGCAGGATATTCCTGATCGTTGTAGATATTAAGCTGAGTAACAAACAAACAAACGATGCCGTGTGTCAGAGCCGCTTGCGGGCAAATGACTAAACAGCTTAGCGCAATTCTGCTGTTTGTTTAGATTGAGCATACTGCATACTGGTCGTTGCACGAAGGCGAATAACGCATAGCCGTCGCAAAAGAATCGGCCGTACGACGCCGACCACGCCCCATGCTTTCGCAGTTTTCTTGAATTGTCCCTGTTATGTCACAATACGGCGACTATAAGTCTACAAGGACCTTAACCAAGCTAAAACAGAACCCCCCAACCAGAAAAGCAAACTTAACCCTCGAATTCAATGTGGTACCATCAAACATCGACACGTGCAAAAACGGGACTGGCTGCTTTGTTTACCTGGGTAATATTGGCATGCCATGCAGTAGCAGATGACGCTCTTCTCACCGCGTCCATTGTAGCACAGCATCAAACCGTAGTACTTGGCTACGTTGGCATGGCTAAGCTGCAGAAGAACTCTGGCTCGTTCGACCACTGTATTTTGTGAGACATTCCCTGACAGCGGCTCCGTTGTTTCTTTTAGGAAGTACTCTTGTTGTTCCCATACCAGGGAAAACAGTCTTGTTCGGGTCACGCCAGTAATGTTGTCACTGATTAGTTGCCGCTGTTCGTCCGGAGGATGGAAAACACCGTGAGGAAATATCGCCTGTTCTGTATCCATGCCAAGTCGGCTTATTAAATACTGGCTATAAATTTCAGTAGGGAAAAATTTTTAAGAATTGTTGTCGAGGCATCTCAACTCGAACTGCTTGCACAGCGCTTGTACAGAGCAAACAACTGTGGTTGGTCAGGAATGCATGGTCGCGAAAATAGCACTGATTGCGGTTACTGTGGTTTACCAGAATCGAGAACCGCCAGATCAATATGTGATCATCACACCAGATCACTCTACATACCTCTAAGATCACAAGCCGTACTCCTCCCGTAAATTAGAAAGAACTAAAACTAAAGTCAGGTTTAGAAACATCTTGGCAAATCCCGATAAATCTGCGCTGCTGTGCTCGTAGTAAGCTGGTCAGAACAGGTCGTCATTGCATGGTTAATCATTCAAACAACATTCGACCGCTTGTATATCAACACCATAGACAGGAAACATTAGCACGGTTTTGCGCAAAACACCAACCAGGCCGAAATTGCCGGCTACGCCGCAAAGAAATGCGCCGCCTTTTGCGATCAGTATCGTTTTTATTCCTTACTTTCCCGCTGATACGCGCTCGGACTGAAGGAGGCTGACGTTTTGGATTACGCGTTAAACGGCAAATTCCAAAGTCCGGCACATGATGGTGCTTAGACCGAAGGAGGGAAATATTTTGTGTTGCCGGAGCAAACACTTTCGTACCGCTTCCGTATTATGCCGTAACGCCTATGACTACCATGGCTTGCTGTCAACATCGGGTGCGCACATGCTGCGCATGCTGCGCACCGTAGCGCTTCCGTCCGTGGTATTTACGGACGGAAGCGCTAGTACAGATATGCCATGTAAATACATATGTAAATACCCCCTTACGCGGCGCAAATTAAGCAAAGCTATTACTCACCCAGCCCTCGTTGGGCTACTTCTGCTTTCCATTATGCAAGGCCCGGTTAGGTGGTTGAGCACTGTGTCGTAACGTCGTCGAGGGGAACCGAATCGGCATGGTCATTGCATATTAGAAACTTCACATTCCGCAGCACGATGGACAACAACTACTGCAGTTGTTGTTATTTGCAACGGGGCAATGCAAATCCGATGTACGAGCGCATACAGGAAAGCTCAGCAGCGCTGCACTTACGATTTCGGAGACAAGCCTCGCAGAATGCACCACCGCACGATCTGCTGCACTGGGAAACGCCCATAAACCTCCTTGGCTTATGGAACTGCTGACTTTCGTTCAATTTTGAATTAAAAACCAGAAATGTCTTTTCTGTCCTGAAAATTGTGCCAATATGGTTATTTTTTGTTACAGTTTCTCATCTTCTTTAATTTTGAACACATGGGCACTTTTCTGGTGACCAGGTTTTCTGATTATTTGGAAGCAAATTCCTTCTGTCGTGTATAAGCGTTCACGCTGGTTAGAGCTCCATGAACAATCTTTACTCTTCCACGCCTGTAATGCTCAATCGGTAGGCAACTCTCATCTCAAACTGTAACAGAATAACTATGGTGGAAATAAGACGAACGTCTCAGGAACACGAATCAGGAATCCCTAACGAAGAAACTAACCACAACCTCCGGTCGCAGGTTCTGTGAGGATCGGCAAGAGCAAGGTCGATTGTGACGCGAGCAAACCTGTATACTAAGCGATAATCCGGGAACGACTATGCACTTCCGTAGGAACAAGTATTAACTGCCTCTTTAATCCAATTCTCAACACAGTCCACAACACAAGGAAATCGTAATTAGAAAACAGTCTCAGAAGTAAATCTCAGACTACTATATATAGTAGAGAGAACATTGATTATCTGTTATGGTTTAGGTGGAGGGCGGACAGAAGGTGGACAGAAGGCGGACAGTCAGCATCCGTATACATCCCGGCGTGTGATCCTACTCCCACACGTCACTTCTGCGAATGCAAATAAAAGCCGACCTTGCAGCTTGTATACTTCTACTTCTACTGTAAAAGTAAAATAGGTGGCGATATAAATTTGTTTCCGAGTAAATATCGCCGGCCCCTTTTCAAAATGCCGGCATAACTGATGATCGCGTAAGTACTGTAGATCGCGTTCCATGGTACTTACTCTTAACTATGTTTGTTAAATTACGGTGTTTGCAAATAGTCGTGTTTGCAAATAGGTTTATGTCGTTTGCATCAATTCTCCAGCAAGTCAAAATAAGACCATAAAACGTACAGTGTAACGGCATGTAATAGCGTTATTGTTTGTGCATGAAACTTCGGAGTAAAAGAACTGATCATAAAACCGAAAGCATGGAAAATGCAGCTCCCATTGACGTCAAACGCGATAAATGGAAGTTCAGTTGTGTGTTTTGATAATTTGTTCTTGGTTTGTAATGGCAATGCCAAAATCTTTGCATTTCTAGCGAAAGTTCATACGTACGGTTCAAGATGGAATCAGCCTGTACAACTGCCGACTGGGTGGCGTCCCGAAATTACTCTGGAGACCTTGTGTTGCCGGATGCCGGTCAACTGCAAATTATTGCGGCGATTGTGGACTGTCTTCAAGCACATCATGACAACCAGGAATCTGGCTTTGACTTTCGACCCAGTCAGGTAACTATCCACACAAATGGAGTGACACTGCATCACTTCGACCCGAGCAAGCTGAACGCTAAATTTATCAAACACAATCACGCCGAAGCGGTGCGGGCACTTCTGTATCTCGGTCCGGGAATACTAAGAGGACTCGACATGGAGGACCCTGAGGCGGTAAAGATGGCCGACATTTATGGAATGGGATGCCTTTTCTTGTATATTATCAGCGGCAACGACCCACAATACTATACTACGGAGAAGAACGGTACTAAGCGGTGGCTCAATCGTGAGCCGAATCCCTTTGTTGGGATAACACTAATTGTGGGAAATGGCCGAGGTCGGCCCGAATACGAGGCCTTTTGCCAAAACAACCCTCCTCTGAAAACACTTTTTGACCTTTGTCTGCGATTTGAGGCAACCGAAAGACCGAAGATAGCCACAATTAAGGAGAGCTTGATTCCGGCCTGCAAATCATATTACATATAGCAAGGTTTCGCTTTACAACCGGAAGAAGGAGCGCCTTATCTGGAAACTGATGTAGAAGAACTGCACAGACTGGGCGGAAGCGGTAGTTTTCTTCGGTGCAGCGACAATACTGCCGGAGCAGGAACATTCGGGCTTCCTAACACTGAGGTTAAACACGTTCGTGGCACTAATACGGTCAATTTGGCGTTCAGAATTGTTTCGATGCGCGATTGTACCGGGAAGAGCGGGATCGTTGAAAACCCCGCTAATACAAATTCCGCTCGCCTCAGTTGGAGAGAACTACAAAAATTTTCCTATCAACCTCCCGGAATCCTTTTGTGTAATGAGTGCGGTCTGGGTTAACACGATTTCCGTGAACCGGCAAACAGGAATTTGTTGTACACGTACGTCATCCTACCAGCTGCAAATTATTTTGTTTTGCGTTTCTGTGCTGACTAGGCGTTTGATCTTTTCATATAGGTAGAGTAGACGCTTTTCCGAGAGATACCGCAAACAATACGATGACACTGGAAGCGTCTAAACTTATCACTGCGCCGCAGATATCGCAAGCGATCTGGAATATCTGCACCAGTGCAACTTCTTTCACGGGGATGTAGAGCCGGGAAAGGTGCTAATAAAGCTCCGGTCAAGTATTATCGGAACACTGTTAACTGGAGAATGGAGTGATGCGTACAGATATGTGCTGAGAGACTTGAGTGATGCCGCGAAGAACGAAGGAGACGCCGCGCACCACACAGGCTCAGCGTGTTATGTCACAGAAGATGTTAAAGAATAAACTTTCGAATACACACCGAAAATTTTTCTGCTAGTATATTCGGATTCAGCGCTATCTATTCACCTAGAATAAGTGCTAAGAATGAAAAAACTAAGTTTTTTTTTTGTTTTTGACTACATGAAGGTAATTGTTGGGGACCGGCAACTAGAACTTCGTTTTAAGTTTTTCTAACTTTGAAAAGTGTTTTCTAGTTTAAAAAATCCGCTAATTCCGTAGCTGTAATCAATCGGTTTGTGTTAAATAAAAAAGTTTGGGGGCAAACTGAAATTGCTATAGTATCCTTAAGAAGCCCATGGGCATAAACATGTTGAATTCACTTCACGTACGAAGCAGTGCTTTTGTGACTGATGCCGAATAAAACAAAAAATAGTAAACTGTGCATCGAACATGTTGCAAAATCTTCGGGCTGGTTTAATGCGCACATCGTTGCCGTATGTATTTAAACAGTATTTGCCATAGTCATAGGCCCATAGCCTGTGTCAGAACCTAAGACTGGTTGCTGAAAATGCAAGCACATTTATGTGACATAAGTCGAGGGAAGAATGAAGATTGATGGATTTAACGTTCTTCTGGAGTTACGGTCATCATTCAAAAAAAATAAGACCTCGGACGATAACAAAATATGGTAAGGTGTTCCACAACAGTGTACGGTGAGATTTGCTGGTAGGCAGCACTGATTGTCTACATGGCATCCTGTCCACACTTTGCAGCCAATTCTGCGCTAGATGAACCGTCCATCCGTTCCACTACTTCTTTCAAACGCCTGAAACCAGATACAATTGTTACAGTACGTAAATGTAAATCAAGTAAAAAATAATTATATAACTGCTGCCCGCTATGATAGCGCGCAACAGTATCTCTTGCAAGGCATTTCCGCAGCTGCGAAATAGTTTGCAACGATAATGAACCCTATTAAACAGATTACAGTTACAAATCTCGTAGTTGTCGCTGGTTTCAGATTTTTTTGCTTTTAATCTCGTCAAGTTCAGAATTTGACATTTCGATGTCTGCATAAGATTAAAACGTGGTTTGATTTTTTGGATGATTACTTTCCAGTTGAGAAAGGCACTATTATTTATTTGAGAATTAAAATAATACTTTAATTTTATCACAAATACGCACCAAAGTGTTTGCTAAACCGTCTTTGCTTGTTATTTTATGGGTGTAAGTTTTACATTATATTATTATCTGCATTATTTTGGTGGAAATATTACAACTTTACATTTTGCCGTTTCTGTACAGTGGATTATTACAGAAATAAAAACTGGAACAAGGCAGCCGTACGTTTCAGTAAAAGCACCTCAGAGCAATATACAAAAGTTATGAGAGGAGAGTTTGTTCCGAAGGAAGAATTACGCTGAAATTTATGAGCCAGCGCATTCACTTGGGATAAATTGGGATAAGTCACTTGGGATAAATTTATCACTTGTTTATATTCTGTTAGTAAGCTGTTTCTAGACAAAATTAACAAGTAACAGGAAAGAATGCTAACTAAAACTAGCGGATGCGCTCAGGTAGAGCAGTGAGCGTTATGCATCTGCTTGTGTCCTTCCTTGATTATGTCCACAACGTCTTGTCCACACTTTGCAGCCAGTTCGGTGCCTTGGGAGCCATTTGTGCGCTCCAGAACTTCATCAAGCATTCTGGAACAGAAGCAAAAATCTAACCAGACAATGATGAGTATATACAACAATGTAAAGCTCTTTTGTCCGGTAACAACTTTCAGCAATTACATTTCCATAGGTTTTTTATCAGTGTTTCGGCAGTCACCGTTATGCGGCGTAAATTACCGGCAAAATGTCTGGTGAGCAGCAGCTGCGTTTTTCAGTGGAGTGCCATCTCCTCCGGTACCGGTCCGATGATGCAACAAGACCGCAACAGTGCCTCAGCTTTCCACAGACAGTGGGCAGCAGCGCGATGGAATTTGACTGCTCCGATGGTGGTGTCGCAGATTTTGGTAAAGGCCGTCACCATTTCGGCCGTGTACCATCCATCGGTGCGATTGTCGCGATACTCTGGGGCTGAGTCTGGGCACCGAGTTAATAGCTCTTTTCGGCAAGGGCCGCTTTTGTTAATCAGCCTGAAATCGATCACAAGCTCGCGGTTCTTTATTTAACTGACCAGTATACGTATTATTACGCATGGGTAACATGTTTATTTTTCAATATGCACATCAACGGGTACCACTCAGTATATACAATGGGTAACATAAAACAGCAGGATAAACAAACCGGCAATGCGCGTCGCCAAGATGGCGGGATTCTTCAAGAAGTGCTTCGGGAACGGGCCATACTGGGTTGGATTCCACATTCCCCACTAAGCGTATCTGCATCACACTGGAGGTTTCATTTCTCTGGTATTCCAAACACCGTGCTTTGAGTTCCGCGCAGGTTTCACCGAATACGCCATACGCACTCAGCGTGCTGCAAGAAATCAGCAAAACGGCAGTAAAAGTTGTGCAATTCATTGTGGATAACTGGCTGGAATCGGTTGGCGCCCGTGGCTTTTCTGGCTGTGGAAAAATCTGTTTACTTTACGGTGCGTCGGACAAGGTGCGCCGCAACACTGGGAAACAACCGGGCCACGTATTATTTAACTGTAAAAGTGTTTATGCTGTGTTCAGTGGCAGATATGCATCAGATTTTCGATCAAGTTGTCGATAAGATTGATTAAGTTATCGATTAGGCTTCCTCATTTGGCTAAAGCACGAGATATTTACAGCAGTTGTCTGCATAACAGTCTGATGATCTTATGCAGTACTGTAGCTCGAGGATCAAACTGTTTTTTTCAGTGCAAATTCTAGTGGTGGCTTCGTCAGAAATATCAGCACGGATCGTTCGTTCGTTCGTTCTAGCACGGAAAGACGTTCTAGCAGGATCACGCACAAATGAAGGAGAGGAGAAGTTAGTTTACAGTATCAACTGCTGCATGCAGATACCAATGTAGTCTGATTTTTCTGCAGGTTTTTAAGAATAACACGCTTCTCTGTACGCCCATGATCGAAAAATTAAGATATCCCGTTTTAGAAACTTGTGATAAAAGTGTGAAGATGTGACAAAAGTTTGAAGTAGTGATTGTAGTGAGTGGGGGTGTGGAAAAGAGGTCGAGGAGGAAATGCTGCGATGTGAAACGTGTAGATGATGCACGAACCCGCGGTAGATGTTGTCAGATCTATGGCAGTGGCGTGGTCGTCAAGCTGAAAGTGGTAGTGCAGTTGTGCGTGGAGGTAGTGAACGGTGAAGTCGTCAGCGGAGGAGTGTGAGTGTGGTGCCAGTGTTTGGTGGTGGCCAACAAAGACGCCGAGAGGCCGAAGGTGACACCCGTGACGAGAGGGACGAAAAGGAGCGTGCATAGAGAGCGGCTGGTGGGTGACCTGGAAGAATGTGGACGAGGGAATCCACGCTGATGGTGCCTTGGGCAAGTTTACGGCTAGTAAAAAGCGCGGACATTGTGTTGCGACATTCTGTGCCGATAGGGATGCTAGCCCGCGATCGAACGAGGCGGATAGAAAGTCAATGCGAGCGGGGATCGGACTTTCTATAAGGGCGTTGGTGAATCCGACCGATTATATCCACGACGTATAGCCACCGAAAGGAACGTGACCTCGACCGAAAAGGCCGTCCACCAGAAAGGATGAATGTTGTGAAGAGCCTGCCAAATTTAATTTGTGGAATATGGAATTGAATTCTGACAATATGGAATTTTGTTATGTTTTTATGGTATCTCGGCTCTATTTTGGCTTTGTTAGTGGGTGTCTCACTTGGGAGAGGTGGGGCGTAGCAGCGCCAGTTCTAGTATGTTCAGTTCTGGATTAGTTCAGTCAGCATGTATTTGAGGTCACGACACTTGATAGCAAAGAAATTCCATGGAAATGCCGAGTTCTATGATGCTCTGCAATGCTTTGAAAAAAATTTGTAAATTTTTCGAGAAGGTAGCATTGCGACCTGTTTCGGTGCCCGGTTTTATTTAAATAAACCGGGTCCGAAGCGGCGCTACAGGAAGAAGCTTCTTGGTTGCCCTAAACGTACCAGTACCAGTATCGGCAGCTGCGTAGGAAACTTATTCCTGGTTGTCATTTTTTACGCATTCACCATTCAGAACCAATTCTTTAAATGGATAACAAATTAGATGAGAACCTCCATAATTTTTTAAAATTTGACAGTACCCGAGGACAAATAGATAAAACTCGTAGGTGTTTAATGAGATATAAAGTTACGAGGTGATGTTTGAAAAAGGGATAACAAACAATACATGAGACAAAACAAACAAATCACGAGATATTATCTAACAGTGGGCGGTGTGGATTTGCTGGTATGCAGCTCTAATTGTCTCCACCGCATCTTGTCCACATTTTGCTACCAGGTCGGTGCTTGGTGACCCGCTCATGCGTTCCGCCACCTCTTTGATACGGCTGAAGCAAACATAAGCAAAATACAGAATGCCAAAACGTATACAAATTATTTAAAAATATTTAGAGTCTACTAGTCATAAAGCTTATACAAATATAACGGATTTAAAAAGCAGCATAACTGGCAACAGTATCCTTGAAAAAAGGGTACGTTTAACATCCAACCTTAATCGGTGCCAAATTACTGTACGATTATTTTCAATTTTGCATGAGACGTACTGGCAGAGCTTCTGGTGGGCAGTCGTGGCATTCATTTGCTTGTTGTAATCCGGTCCGTGATCCGGTCCAATATAGCAGCAGCGCATGAACAGTGTCCCATCAGTTTTAAAACAGTGACTGGCAGCGCGATGCAGTTTTACTGGTCCGATGGTTGTTTCACAAACTCTGGCCAGGGCAATCTGCATCTCAGCATCATACCATCCATCCCATTCACTGGACCCTGTCGTGTGGTTACCGTAAGATTCGGGACAACGGCTAAACAATTCTCGCAGGCAGTAGCCGGTGTTGTTGAACTCTCTACAATCAGAAAATATTTCGGAATTTGTCATAGCGCGTTAACCGAAAAAAAAACTAACCGGCAGTGTTGTTCCCCCAGTTGCCGGTATTCTTGAAGTAGTTGCTCCGTAACCGGCCATGTGGAGCTGGATCCAGGAACAACCGTCGCTAAGCTGTTTACGGTGGGTCTTTCGGCTTTTTTATACGCCGTACATTTCGCCTGCAGTTCGTCGCATGTTTCGCTGCCTACGGCATATGCAAATCCCAGGCAGGATATCAATAATAACACCATAAAAAATTTGCAATCCATACTGGCAAACGATAAAGACCGGCTCGGATATTCTTGAGTGTTGAACAACGCTCGTACTGTTTCTTATTCGACCGGTGGAGTGTCGATTGTGGCTCGCCTTGCAACAGCAGTATTTAAAGTCACATTAGCCAACATACGAATATTGCATGTACAGTTGTACGAGTATCAGATTTTGGCTACTTTTTCAATCTAGATTTTGCGACAACGCCAACTCAGAACTTCCTTGCTTGCACTGCAGTTAATGGTTTCCCAGCAACCACCGGACATCTGTGACCGTGTGAAAGTTAGGGACTTTCACACGGCACAGGTTATCTGATTTACGATGTACCTGTGCAGGCTGTGCTTAATAAACACTGTTTGCTATAGCTTCGAGCTACATAATCGAACGTTTGCAGAAAACATTATGTATTTGAGAGAAAATATTTGCTATGTTAGAGGGAAAACAAACGTTTAGTCATTCGTAATGGAACAGGATCGTGTCTAAAGTCCGAATCATTGCGCTACCTGAACGAGCCGGCAAATCATATGAAAAAACCGGCGAGCACATCTATTAGACACCAGAAGGTGATTGCCAACAGTTCTATAGGTTTTTTTATTTCTTCTTTAGACAGACTACATTACTGCGTTGTAAAATATGCTCGAAAATGAATAAATGTTGAACGTACCCGCATACACGCATAAATATGTAAATACCCGCATACACGCATACAAGACCGCATTCGGTGGAAAACGTTAAATCTCCAATTAAAACCGTATTAAATCGTTCATTAAATTAAGGCATTAAATCATTAAAAAATTTCAGGGCTAAATAATAGCGGTTCAATCATTTGTCGCGCTCCTTTTTTGTCGCTGTTTTAATTGACAAGGCTGAGAATGCAGAAAATCAATAAATTTGGATGGTTCAACTGACCACATACCTACTATGATCAATTGCGCTATCGATCGGAATCGTCACATAGTGCAGCAACGCACATAGTATCGATTGGTAGTCCCTTATTTCTTCCTAGTCCATTCCTGTTACTGGCTTAGCGTGTATTGCTCTTGGTCAATCACGACTCACGCATGCAGCAGGATTTGCACTCCATTTACGCCAGAGTTCCATGCAGTTACCCACCAGTGCATGCACACTCCAACAGAGATGTATGTCAAGTTGTAAAATGAATGTCAGTGGTAATATATGTCCTCTCCAAGAAGAATCATTATTTGCCATATGTTGAATGAAAATTAATCATCCAGACGAACTTGTAAAAAAGGTCGCACCCAATAGTCCACCCATTATGGAGGATTTTTTGTTTGCGCGGATATGCACAACTCCGCTGTTAACGAATGTTTACAGCCGATTTGTTGTGGACATTGAGGACGACACTGAGGGCGACGATAGGACCGTATACCGTGGATATGTCTGTGGAGTGGAAAATGGTCAGTGTAGGGTGCAGATCGGCTGCATGCAGCAGCAACTGCGGTTGGTGCCCATGAAAAAGCTGCGCAGGGTGGGCGTATGGGCAGGACCAAGGTACTGCATCAATGACACTGAAATAGTTGAAGGAATGGATGTTCTTGTCAGCACTGATGAGGAGCATTCGGAATCATGGCAATCCGTGTATTCTGCTGAAGCTAAAGGCTGTCTGAATTTTACGTTACTGAATGTCGAAGTTGAACTGCCGAATGGAACGATCAAAGCGTACCGCGTGTTGGACGGAAACGATGCCGCCTTGAAGCGTGTACGTCGGGCGGGACCGTTGGGACCACCCGTGACCATGGACTCCTTCCATCGCGTGCTGATTCCTTTTTGTGAATTTACGTCAGATATTCCCCATATTGCAGATGAACTCGAGCGCATAAAGGACATGCCACATTTTCACAGTCAATTTATGTGGAGATGTTCGAGTGGTGTCACGAAAGACATAATGTTTCTCGGGGTTGAGGATGAATGTGTTGCCGTGTTAGTTGCGAAAGGGCGTGGCGGAGTCCACAGTGAGCGGTACATTTTTGATCACTCGGTCAACGCTATTAGACGGTTCACAACATCACTGTCCAAGCGGATCACGCACACTGTGGGAAGAATTTTGGACCAACTTGTCAGCGTGGTTGTGGGCATGGAAGGTTAGTAAACGTTTTCCGGTGACTGAAGTACACAGTCTATAGTGTATTGTGGAATCTCGTGAATGTCCAAATATTATGGAGATAGCACCGGCAGTTGCAAAGCGAATGTTGCAGTTATGAATGCACTTTAGTGCTTGTCTGCTCATGCTGCAGACGGTTAGTAATAAAGAATACGAGTATATTATATTGCGCTACATATATCACACAGTGTTGTTGTCAAAAATCTTCCTCAACTCTTCTGCAACTCGAAGTCGAACTCGAACACTTAGGTATAATGCCGGAATTAATAATTACCTGTAACTGCCTCGAAAAATTTTCCAGTGCACTCTGATGTTTTACTTTTTTTGTAGACCTGGACAACCGTGATGAAATACGTTTTAGTGATCTATTCCCGGAGTTGCATCTAGCTGTGTTTTCCTCTTTGGATGTGTTTGATCAACATCAGATTCGCAGGTACGTACTTGGCTGATCTGATTCGGCTTATGGTATTTGCTACGCGTGCGGCGTGCCTCAGTTATCAGCGAGACTGCGACTCCACATCCCACCCAGTCACGCGGGTGCTTGTCAGAGTATTCGTTACGGTTACTGACAAGGGACACGAAGTTAGCCAGTTATAAAAAATGCGCAACGCTGAGTTGTACTCGCATATACATGATTTTGTTTTGCTGCAGTATAGACATCGTATTGACAACACCCTTCTTGGGCAGTCCTGATCTCTTTGCTTTCAGGACGTGTACATGGTTTCGCCATTTATTGTCTTCTGAAACAATCCAACAATGTCTGATTTTACCACGCCAGTCAATGAACGTCCTCGATACCCTAAAAATGTTCTCATTGCAACAGTTTGCCGACTTCAGTGAGCACCGCGCTACCATGATTTACGTGCTGTGCAGCACGGTAACAAAACACACCAAAATCATTTACCTCATTGGTAACTGGGAGAAATGTCTGTTTGCATTTTTTGTGCGTGAAACTCGATTGGCTGGTCATTGCTGACAATTCTATACTGACGTTCCACGAGCTTCTAGAATTCCCGGACCAATGGCCCATATTGCACACGGATGACGATTTTGTAACGTTTCGAGCCACGAAACAGTCGGCACCTGATTATGCCAAGGTGACCGCCACCTGTTGCTGAAGAACTGCTGCTTTAATAGCAAGCTTTCATTCTGTTTAGCGGCGATCTCGTATTTTTGCCCTTTTTATCAACGAATTCGCCATGCGCCGCGCTATCATCGACCTCAGGCTTGTTGTCTGGACCCCTTCTATATTACAGTTCCCTATTTTCAGTACAACTTTGCGGAATCAGCAATATCCACATTAGTCGAATCCTTCCAATCAGCGTTAGAGCGGTTGTGTCCCGCAGTTCCGGATGATAAGATCAGAGCCATGATAAGCTGGCTGGACTCCCTAACAGAAAATGATCTAAGAGAGAAACACTACGGTATCTGGCCATTTATTCCATTGTGCTATGAATTGTGAGTGAAACAGTTGCACCGGTATGACATGCTGCAAAGCTGAGATTAACGGTTATGGTAAACAGTTAAATTGGGTAGGTGGAAGAAAGAAACGCCCAAGAACCTCGACGACGTCAAGAAAGATGTTGCTACAAGGTTGCCTCCAAAGTGTTTGCTCATGTTGACGCTCGCTTTGTTAATGCCCGTTGCGAAACCGTGTACGCCAGAAGGCTCTGATTCGAGTTCAGAAGTCAACATTTCCGATTTGGACACATCTGCGTCAGAGGAGTCCGACACGCACTCAGACTCTGGCTCTGATACTGTCGATTAACGTAAACAAATTGCATAGCCTAAGTTTGGAAATGAGTCCGAAGTTTGGAAGTAATATGTAGCGCTGCCGTGGGTACGGTTCTTTTCACGCTAACTGCGCTAAATTTTCGATGGTCGCCTATGGATACGGCGGCGACATCCCCGTATTCCTGCTTTTAATTTCGCCTACGAAAATGAAGTACTGAAGGGCTAAAGAAAAACGGTTGCTCGATGCTTTCATTTTTGGTAGAAACCTCATTAGCCAATGACGGAATAGAGCAGTACAGTAGTGATGTGTGCGTAAAGTGACGGCTTTACTCGTACTTTCTATTATTCTTACACTTTCTCTTTTGTGTTCGGATTTACTTTTGGTTTTTTCTACACGGATGCGCCGTGTCTATATAAGTCTGTGAGAGGCAGTACTTTGCATGATCAGTTCTCTCATTACGAGTTTTGGCAGTTTCGGAGTTTCTAATTAAAATATCGTCGAAGATGCAGTTCTCGCTTCGCGTAGATTCTTAGACTTAGCTATGCCACATTGAGATTATCAGCTCATACTCTGTCGTTGAGTAGGTCGGTAGGATAGATTATTACGGTAATTATTCCTATCGTACTGATCTCTCCGTCACCAACAAATGTTTTCTAGTGGCATTTCCAGAAATAGCCGCTGTCGCTTCTTTGCGCGTTTCTGACTTCTAACATGCTAAATCAAAGTTATTTACAAAAGTTAACGCAACTGATTTCCGCGGCAAGTGACCACTAAAAGCGAGCATTGATTTTCTGGCGGACTTTGTGTAGAGTGTAGACTATGTGTAGACAGTGTAGTACAGTATTTGCAAAAGTAGGTAAACTTTTTTATTCTACAGTGAGTTATTTAAAACGACGACAAAACGGGGATATTTATTGCAATTTGTAGGTACACTGTTCACCGTATTAACAATAACATTGTTTGACATAATTATTGATTTTTAACTGTTATTGTGGCCGAAATTGGTGGCTGATTCGATATTTGATAAATATATATTTCTACAGAGCAAGAGGAAGTAAAAGACAGCACAGGCTGCGTAAGCTTCATTACAGGCGCGCTTGTCGTATCCAGACACCGAGCCCTTTCACTTGTGGTGGTGAACAGTAATGGAAGACTGGCAGGTGTGAGTGCTAGTATCACAATGGAGTGTGTAGCCGTGTTCCGCTTGC